GACCTTATAAAAGTCTTATAGCCAGAAATTATAATGAGGTTTTCTCTCATTTCAGGTAAATGGAGAGTGAAGATACATTCTTTTTTTTTTTTGGAAATTTATCAACATTTCCTTTATTTTTTAATACATGGTAAATTGTGACTGCTTTATGTATTTGAAAAGAACATATTTTTTTTGTTGGATACAATGTTCTGTAACAATTATTTATTTTATATTTATTATTATATTATATTATATATTTATTATTTTTATTAACATATATATGTTATACAAAATGAATAATATATAATTATATATCAATTAATAATATATAATTATATGTTATTCATTTTGTATAACATATATAAATAATATATAATTTATATAATATATAATATATATAAATAATATATATAATTTATATAATATATAATATATATAAATTATATATATTATTTATATATTAAACTTATATATGTAAATAATAATATATATAACATATATAAAATATATATAACATATATATAAAATATATATACACACACACATATATATATATAAAATAAGGGGTACAGGTCTGTGATTCATCAATCTTGCACATTTCACAATGCTCACCATAGCACATACCCTCCCCAATGTCTATCACCCAACCACCCCATCCCTCCCACCCCCCTCCATTCCAGCAACCCTCAGTTTGTCTGCTGAGATTAAGAGTCTCTTATGGTTTGTTTCCTCTCTGGTTTCATCTTATTTCATTTTTTCCTCTCTTCCCCTATGATCCTCTGCCTTGTTTCTCAAACTCCACTTATCAGTGAGATCATATGATAATCGTCTTTCTCTGATTGAGTTATTTCACTTAGCATAATACCCTCTAGTTCCATCCACATCATTGCAAATGGCAAGATTTCCTTTTTTGATGGCTGCTTAATAAATGTGTGTGTGTGTGTAAGTCACATATACCACATCTTTATCCATTCATCTGTCGATGAACATCTAGCTTCTTTCCATAGTTTGGCTCTTGTGGGTGCATATGCTCCTTCAGATCACTACATTTGTATCTTTGGGGTCAATTGCTGGGTCATAGGGTAGCTCTATTTTCAACTTTTTGAGGAACCCTATTCTGTTTTCCAGAGTGGCTGTACCAGTTTGCATTCCCACCAACAGTGCAGGATGGTTCCACCTTCTCCATATCCTCGCCAACATCTGCCGTTTCCTTGTACATACATGCTCACTGGCCTAGGACTTGTGGTCAGACTGATCAGTAGTCATCCAGCATGGTGGTACAAATGTCACCTATCTGGAAGTATGAATTATGACACCCTACTGATCTAGTTGGACAGTGTATATCTACTAGGCTAAAATCCGTGGTCGTAGTAGTTTCTTACTTTTACTGTTTCACCATTGGATATATAGAAAAACCCAATCAACTCCAAATTATTTTACCAGGTTTATTCAACTTGTTCATCAGTTGGAAAATATTTATTGAACGCTAGTTACATAAAGACACTATAAGAATACAAAGAATTACAAGGCATGGCCTTAGTGGTTTTTTAATAAACTTTTTTTTCATAGCAGTTTTCGGTTCACAGCAAGACTGAGGGGAAGGTACAGAGATTTCCCGTATGTCCCCTCCCCAACACATGTACAGTTTCCCCTATTATCAATATGCCCCACCAGAGTGGTAGGTACATTTGCTATAATTAATGAATATACACTGACACATCATAATCACTCCAAATCCATAGTTCATATTAGTGTTCATTCTTGGTGTTGTACATTTTGTTTGGACAAATATATCATGACATGGACCTGTCAATATAGTGTCATACAAAGTACGTTTACTGCCTTAAACATTCTCTGTGTTCTGCCTTTTCATTCCTCCCTCGAACCCCTGGCAACCACTGATCTTTTTACTGTCTCCATACTTTTGTCTTTGCCAGAATATTATATAGTTGGAATCATACGGTATGCAGCCTTTTCAGAATAGTTTTTTCACTTATGATATGCATTTAAGCTTCTTCTCTATCTTTTAATGGCTTGGAAACTCATTTCTTTGTAGTGCTAATACTCCATGGTCTAGAGGTACCAAAATTTATCCATTTACCTGTTGAAGGACAACTTGGTCCTTCCAGGTTTTGGCAAGTATGAATAAAGCCGCTATAAACATCTATGTGCAGGTTTTTGTGCAGACATAAATTTTTAACTCCTTTGGGTAAAAGACAAATTGCACAAGGAGTGCAATTACTGGATTATACGGTAAGACACTGTTTAGTTTTTTAGGTGTTTTTTTTTAAGTAATCTCTATAAACCAACATGGGGCATGAACTCTCAATCCTGAGATCAAGAGTTGCATACCCTACCAACTGAGCCAGCCAGGTGTCCCAGAATATGTTAAGTTTTATAAGAAAATGCCAAACATCTTCCAAAATGACAGTACCATTTTACATTTCCACTAGCAATGAATGAGAGCCCCTGTTTCTCCACATCTCTGTTAGCATTTGGTATTGGCAGTTTTCTAGATTTTGGCCATTCTAGTAGGTATGCAGTGATAGCTCATTGTTTTAATTTGCATTTCTCTGAAGATATTAGATGTGAAGCATCTTTTGATATGCTAATTTTCCATCTATATACCTTATTTGGTGAGGTGTCAAGATCTTTGGCCCATATTTTATCTTTTGTTAAAAGATTTTATTTATTTATTTGGGAAAGAGCATGAGCAGGGGGAAGGGCATAGGGAGAGGGAGAAGCAAACTCCCCACTGAGCAGGGAGCCCGAATTGGGGTTCAATCCTAGGACCCTGGGATCATGACTTGAGCCCAAGGCAAATACTTAACTGACTGAGCCACCCAGGTGCGCCTTTGGCCCACTTTTTAATAATGTTATTTGTTTTCTCACTGTTGAGTTTCAAGAGTTCTTTGTATATATTGGATAACAGTCCTTGACCAGATGTATCTTTCAAAAATATTTTCTCTCAGTTTGTGGCTTGTCTTTCCCTTCTTTTGGCCTTGTTTTTCACAGAACAGAAGTATGTTTTCATTTTTTTTTTAAGATTTTATTTATTTGAGAGAGAGCGAGAGTGAGACAGCACAAGCAGGGGGAGCAGCAGATGGAGAGGGAGAAGCAGTCTTCCAGCCGAGCAGGAAGCCCAGTTCAGGTCTCTGTCCCAGGACCCTAGGATCATGACCTGAGACGAGGGCAGATGTTTAACGGCTAGAGCCACCCAGGTGCCCCTCTTACTTGGACTCTTAAAACTGTCTCATAATGGTGGTCCTGAAATCTCCCAACTCATTCTCTTAGTAGAGTAATTGTTCTGATGTGCATATTTGAAGGTGTCACTTTACTACTTAAATTTTCACACTGGCTTTCCATTGCTCTTAGGATAAAGAGCAACTTCTTCAACATGGAAGAAACTGGCCTCTCACAATCTAGCTTCTTCCAATTTCATGCCCTGAACTCCTAACTCCCACTCCCAGGCATATGGGCTGTCTTTTATTTCTTGAAAAACTTCACGTTCTTTTCTTGCCTCTGCCTCTTTTCCCTTCTTGGTATTTACTTCACTACTCTCTTATTCCAAAACTCCCTCACACCCTTCAAGTCATCTTCTATTTGTCCTTTGAGTCAGTTTACATGTCCTGGAATTGATTCTAACGATTGACCCTGACTCTAGTAATTTCAGCTTGGTGACTCTCTTATGTGTTTGCATTAATTCACTCGCTCTCCTATCTATATCTATATATGTATGCTACAAGTCATACATGTCTCTCCCTTGTTTCATTTTCTTAAAAGAATTTATTATATCTTAAAGTTTATTATTTGCTTGTTTATTGTCTGTCATCCTGCACTAAAATATATGTTCCCTGAGATCAACAATCTTGTCTACAGGGGCACCTGCGTGGCTCAATTGGTTGAGCGTCTGCCTTCAGCTCCGTTCCACCTAGAGATCTGGTATGAAGCCCCACATCTGGCTTCCTGCTCAGCGGCGGGAGGAGGGGGTCTGCTTCTTCCTCTCCCTCTGCCTGCTCTTCTGCCTGCTTGTGCTGTCAATAAATGGATAAATAATACCGTAAAAAAAAAATCTTATCTGCCTTACTCTCACCACTATGTCCTCAGAAGCTCCAACAGTGCCTAGCTCATACTGGAGACTCAGTGAATACGTACTGACTGAACGGTAGAAGCACATTTTTGAGGCAAAATTCTTCGGGCAGTTGTAGAATTCCATGCAATATCTGGGACATAATTATACCAACAAATTATTTGTTTTTGTCAGAAATTAAAATTTGAGTGGCCTGTGTTTGTTCTGGTCACCTTATACCCTAAACACATTTAGCAATATCTGGAGACATTTTTGACTGTCATAACTGGCGTGGTGGTACTACTGGTACCTGGTGTGTAGAGGGATGCTGCTGACCATCTTACAATGCATAATACAGCTCTTATTTGGCAAAAAAAAATATATATATATATATATATATAAGGTCCAAATGTTAATGGTGTGGAGGTTGAGAGAGAACCTCCACATCTGAGCTAGATGGTCATGAAATTTAAAGGTCCCTAGCAGGCAGAGTCAGCGCCTAGAGCCTCTAAATTCATCTTCCTTTTGGAAAGACGGCATGGGGTTAGTGAAAGGAAGGCGTCCGGCCTGGGGACTCGGCTATAAAATTCTGCGCACATATCTTCTTCACATGGATAACCAGACGGCAAGAGAGCCAGACTATCAATTGCCGCAGGTGAAGTAATGATGTAGAAATGATCGCGTGTGAAGGCCACAGTGGAAGGAAACGCACTCTGCATACATTGGTTACATGTGCCTCAGACACTGAGACATCCTTTAACTCCGGTAAATACAAACCCTCCCGCCGCTGGAGCTAGGAAGGCAGTGACACACCGGAAGCGGCCGGGCGACTGAGGCGTCCTTCTCCCCTAGCAACGGTCGGGAAGGAAGTGGTTGTTGCAGTCGAGCTCTGTGCGCCTGCGCAGAGGCGCCGCCTGCTGACGTGGAGCTAGGTCCCGGAGGACGACCCCGGCACACAGCGGAGTGCGGGAGAGCCGCTTGGCTGGTGGAGCCGCGGCCGAGGCCGGGATGGCGGCGCCGCTCGCTCCGCGCGGGGGAGCCGGCGTTGCGGGCCAGTGCTGGTTGGTGTTGCTGCCGCCCCTGTTGCTGGCGCTGCTGCTAGCGCGGTCCGCGGAGGCCCTGGTGGAGGGGCTCTACTGCGGCACGCGCGACTGCTATGAAGTGCTGGGCGTGAGCCGCACGGCGGGCAAGGCGGAGATCGCGCGGGCCTATCGCCAGCTGGCCCGGCGCTACCACCCCGACCGCTACCGGCCTGAGCCTGGCGACGAGGGCCCCGGACGGACGCCGCAGAGCGCGGAAGAGGCCTTCCTGCTGGTAGCGACCGCCTACGAGACTCTTAAGGTGAGATCTGGGGACGCGGATTGGCAGCGAGGACTCCTGGCCGGCGGAGCAGGGTTCTCGGTGACCCCGGCTCCGAGCGGGGCCACCGCCACGACCCCTAGGATGTTCGGGATTTCCTACGTGGCCGTGCGAAAGAACCCACGCGCACGGGTCATTGACAAAGATGGGAACCCCCTCGGGTCTTGGAGGACAGCTAGCCCTCTCCTTTTTGTGACAGTTTTTGTTATGCAAAGCTTTGGGTATATTACAGTTTAGTGAAAACACTTTAAAAACTTGCAACTCACACTTGGAAAGCAGGGTGATTATTATTACCAAGATCTATGATAGAATATAGGAAAGGTCTCCAGTATTGAATGACTGTGATGGCGCCAATTTGACATAACTAGATTTCTGGGGATGGTATTAAATGTGACATTTAGGGGCATCTGGGTGGCTCAGTGGGTTGAGCGTCGGACTGTTGGTTTCGGCTCAGGTCATGCCTGATCTCAGGGTCGTGAGATCAGGCTCGCTCTCAGTGGGGAGTCTGTTTGGAATTCTTTCTCTCCCTCTTCCCCTCACCCTGATCTCTCTCTAAATAAATAAATAAAGTCTTTTTAAAAATAAAAATAAACGTGACATTTAGCTTGGGTTTAACGACTTAGAAAAACACTAAGAAGAACAATGAACAAGCACTCAGAAGACCGGATATTTGACTCTTGGCTCCTATACCCCAGTATGACCTTGGATAGTGACTTAATATGTCACAGTAGCTGTTTCTTCGTATATAAAATTAAAGCCATGATATCTCCTCACAAGGGTTCAGTCCTCAATGAGAACTGAATAATTCATGTGAGAAATCCCCTATACAGGAACTGCAAATACATACTTAATGACTTGGGGCTCAAGACTCAGAAGTTCTGTCGGGAAAAATTTTGTGAATATGGGTGTAGTCATTTGACAAAGGTTTTATCGAGTCCTTTGGAGATGGGGAGATTTACCCTGTTCCTGTTTTCTTCTGCTACTGCAAAAATCAAACCATATAAGGAATCACAAAGTATAAATCATATTTGATGGAAGTGTTACTGCTTCAAGGGTCCCATCATGCTAATGTAATAGCAATTGTAGTTGTAAGGTGTTTCTTTCTAGCTTTTTTTTTTTTTTTTGAGGTGAAGTTTTCCATGTTGCTTTGTAATCTGTTTTTAATGACTACTTCTAGTGGGTATACTATAATTTAACCATGGATTATTTGTTCAGAATAGGTTTCCAGAGCTGAAAATACTGAATCAGGGACCTAAAGGCTCTTCATTCATGCTTTCCAGAGCAGTTTATATAATATGCATTCCTATTAATGAGTATGCCAAGTTCACTGTATTCTCCCTAGCATTGGTGACATTTAATTTTCACTGGCAGTTGACTGAAGAATGGGTGGAGACTAGGGAAAGTGCAGACACCAGAGGGTTAGTTGCTTATTATTTAGGGTATAAAGTGATGGAGGAAAGACTTCAGAAAAATGGGAAAGAACTTTTTCATCCAGGGAAACCCAGCATCTAAAGTCCCAATCTTTGTTCTTCTGCAGTGAAGAAAGGTAGTTCTCCAGACAAGCAGCCAGAAGGCTCTGGTGGCACATAAAGAAGCCTTGGGAGGATGGAGAACTTCGAGAAGACAGGGCAGCAGAAACTCTGGCAGCTGTTGCCTTCTCCTGGGTTTGGAAATGGGTGGGTTTGGCATGAGAGTGGTGAACATGTTAGTGAGATATGAACCAAGAAAGACAGACAGTAGAGAAATTTTGCTGGGAGGAACCCCAACACTCTATTCTTGCCATTTTCTCGAAGAGACAAATTTGGAGGCTGATTTGATGAATCTGTAATGGTTGCCTCTAAAAGTTTCTTCCCCTAAAGTTTAATACTGATTTGTCAGTGAATAAAAGCTTGATAAAATAATTTGTCCACTTTGGGGCAGTTAAAAACTGGTATGTCTGGAGAAAGTAACATGTTTAATCTTGATCCCAACAAGAGGTTTAAAGTACTACAAATGTCTCTAAGCAGGAAACAAAAATTGGAGTTACACTGATGGAAGAGGGAGTGAGAGAAAATGCTATAGTTTCCTCAGCTCCATTCAGTGTTACTGTCAGAGGAAAGGGATGTTTGGGGATGGTTTGGACCCTTGAAAACCAGACCTGAGTTCCATGAAAGCTATTTTAAAGTTACAGAGATGGACTTCTAAGTGGAACACCTCCAGAAACTTTATTGTTCAGACTTCATTGCAGATGCTCTCTCCTAAAATGAGGAAAAGGACTTTGATTTGCTGTATGTGGAATTTATTAAAAACAAACAAAGTGATCAGATTTTATTTCTGTCATAATGGAAAATTATGAGTAAGCTGCCAGAGAATATCATTTCTGGATAATGTAGAGATCTAATGAACTAGAGTCATCCAGTTTGGATAGCCTCATCCTTCCAAATTATCCCCTTGAGGCAATGAGGATGTAACCACTACTTTACTCAAATTACATCTGTAGGCTAGAATGAGGGCAAGAAGTCCATGTGGCCTTTGCTAAGAGCAGGTCAGATAGAATAGTGGGAGAAGTTGATGAGTTCCAGTGGCTCTGGAATGGAGATACAGAAGCCTATATGGAATTCCACTATCATCTCATGGAGGTAGCAGATGCCTACCTGGGACCGCTTCATTTCTGTTTGCTATTTTTGTTTTATGCTATATCTTTCTCCATAAAGAATAATAGTAAGCCCTGTGAAAGGTGTACTTATCTAAAGAGCCAGCCAAAAAGGAGGGAGGGACTCGGGAAGACTATGTCATCTTTCATAGCCATGTGCAATTATTGCTGGCAGATGGAAGAAGAAGCTGATTTTATGTTTTGTTTCGTAAAGTGCACAAGTAGATTCCATTTCTGGAACAGTGTATCCAACAGAAATTGTTCCTTTTCTTGAACTCTGAAATAATTTAATTGTAAATTCACTGGAGCTGAGAGTCTTTTTTTTCCCTCCCCCCCCATAGTTTTTTTAAAGATTTATTTATTTTAGAGAGAGAGAGCTCACGTGCATGTGCACACAAGAGCGGTGGGGGAGGGCCAGAGGGAGAGGGAGAGAGAGAGAGAGAATCTCAAGCAGACTGCACACTAAGTGAAGAGCCCAATGAGAGGCTCAGGCTTACCACCTTGAGATCACAACAGGAATCAAAGAGTATGAGGCTCAACCGACTGCACCACCCAGGTGCCCCTACCACCATAATTTTTTGATAATCTTTTAATTCTCTTATTAGTTTGTTCAACTCTCTTAATCTTTTTAATGTATGTGATATAAGAAACTATATTATATTTTCATTATAACCTTATAGTGGTATGCATCAAAACTTCTAATAATCAAGGATCTGTGAATGTTGATAATATATATATCACCAAAATGGGAATTTATATTTGTGAAATATAGTGGATTTATGGCTCTGAGGTTTTGTTGGTCAAATACATGCCTCTTTGAGAGAGAGAGAGGGTTTTGTTTTGTTTTGTTTTTGATGATGGTTGTTAAAAAAGTACACTAAGATGATTTAAATACAGTTGGTGAGACAAGAAGATACTATCACACTTGATCATTGTTATTTTAACAACACAGATTCTATCTGTGCATAGAGAGATTGAGGAAAACCAGAAAAAGAAGGATGGGTAATAATGGAAGGCAAAGGCACTGGTCAGATGCTTTCATCAAATCATGCTTAGTTTATATTCTCAAGTAACTTAAAATTGCAGTTCTCAGCAGCACTTTAAACCATTATGATCTCACACACTGCTTTATATTTGCTTCATAATATAAGCAAAGTTAAGACAATGAAATAGTATTTAGTGTATTTGACTACTGGGGATTCAGGGAATTCGTGGACTTTGGAAGTTAAGTAAATGGACTCTCACTTGCTGTGTCAACATTAGATCTTTTTATGTGGATATAGCACTTATCACACTGCATTGTAAATACTGAGAAGCCCTCCCCTCTCCACTAAACCATCTCCTTGCCTTTTTGTTTGTATATCCATGGCACCTAGCCCAGTGTCTGGCACATCGGATAATGAATGTTTGTTAAATGAAAGACTGGGATCTGGAGATAGATTCAGTGGATTTCTGACATTTTGACATTGTTATGTGAAGCCTACTTTGTTATTTTTATCCTAAATGTAGTTTTAAAGAGTGGTACAGATAAAGTAGATTGGATGACTATGAATGAAAAATTCCCACATGAGAGAAAAATTGCCTTCTATTTTTAAGGAGAAGTTCTGATTTTTTTTTTTTTAAGTGAGAACATTGATCCTTTTTGAATATAGATAAGAGCTAGATGAAGTAGATGAATTAAGAATGGCCTGGAAATCAACAAATGATGGAACAGGTGGAAAGAATGTACTTAGAACATGGGAAAATAGACTTTAACAGCATTTTGTAAAATCACAAAAGAACAGAAAAGGTCTTGGCAGTATTACTGGCTTGAAGGTTATCTGATAAGGTAACATAAGTAGTGAGAGCCTTTTACTACTCTACCCTTGTCTTGGCAGGGAAGTCACAGAACCCTTTAGTTTCTTTTTATCAGCATGATTGATGTAGCAGGTCTTTAGCACTTATGAAAAATTTGGCACGGGGGTGGGGGGTGTGTGTGGATTCTGAATGCCCTGCCCTTTTATGTTACTGTTCATTGTTCTTTCCTAGTTTATTCTACTCAATCCTTTCTGTAACTGGTACTGAGGTGGGCGCTTGGGGAGGAAATCACAACAGTGAAGAGGGCACAGTTCTTCCCTTTAAGCTTTTAACATAACAAGAAGACAGATACTTATTGTTCAGTTATTATTTATTTAAGTTATGTAATAAAGATATGTGTAGATTATATTACAGCACTGAGAGGATACAATTATTTCTTCTTTGGGGATTGGAGAAGAATGTACTCTTTCTTCTGGATCTAGAACAGTCATCAAAGGTTGACAGTGAAGGGACATTTCTGGTAGAGGGAAAACTTGATCATCAAAAACATGGA